TGTGTTTTATATAGTGGGATGGTCTAGGTTAAGGCATGAATGAAACAGGTTTTGCTAAGTTAATGCTCTAGTAACAACCCGAATCTTGGTTCATGGCAGCAAGGATTGTTTCTCACTCCTGTTGCATGGTTTTTGGAGTTCAGCTCTGTCTCTGCTCCACAGTTTTTCAATCCTCCAACCCAGAGGAAGGAGCATCTCCATCTGGAGATTACCTTCTTGTTGCAGAAGGAGATAGGCAATGCTGGGACTGGTGTTTAAAGCATCTCTATTTATGACTTTCGTTAGTTCCTCTCATGGCCCATTATCCAGGGCATGTTATAGAGCCTTAGCTCCATAACATCAGGAGTGAGGTGTATACCCTAGACATGGCAACCAGAAGGGACTGTGGAGAAAGGCCTGCTAGAGTGGACCACTCGATTCTGTGAACAAAACAATGCAATCTACCACAATCTATCTTTAGTGGGGGAACCTTCAGTGGCGAAACTGGATAGGCATCAGGGACAAATGATTACCTATATGACCGACCAAAATTCAGGCAAATATGCCAGTAAATACCCAATACTTCCAGACTTGTAGTTTTCAATAAATTGATTAGTGAATGTCAGTATGTTTTCATAAAATAGAATTCCATGCTTAGAAGAGTAGACTTTCTCTCTTGATCAGTTTTACAAAAGTCGTAAGTTTTTTGGTCATCTGCCTTTCTGAATGGATTTCTAAGGTGGCTCGAGGAGTTAGATTTTCTTAAGCAAAGAAGATTTATACATTTGAATCTACAGAATCATCTTTTTTATTTAGAAGCATGAAACTGGAAAAGAATGCGTCTGGAGAGCCTCTGATGAGAATTGTTCACAAGAAATGCTGTAACAAAGTACCACAGAGTGAGCAGCTTCCACATTAGAATTGTCTCACGGTGCTGGAGGCTAGAATCTGAGAGCAAAATGCTGGAAGGGTTCTTTCCTTCTGCTGGCGGTGAGGGAGGAACTGCCTAGGCCCGTCCCCCGCTGCTGGTGCTCTGCTGGCAGTATTTGTGTTCCTTGGCTTGAAGATCTCTGTCCTTAAGTTCGTGTTTCATTACCCCTGTGTACCAGTCTGGTTCAGCTTTCCTCGGTTTATGAGAGCACCAGTCATACTGACGTAGGGGCCTCACTCTATCCTAATATGACTTTCACATCTGCAATGCTCCTATTTCCAAAAACATCACATTCTGAGGGACTGAGGGTTAGGATCTCAAGATTTGAATTTGGGGGGTGGTGCAGCTCAACCCCAAGCAGGAACGATGCAGATAAGGATGCTTCCAGAATGCAGGCCCAAGCAGGAACCATGCAGATAAGGATGCTTCCAGAATGCAGGCCCAAGCAGGAACCATGCAGATAAGGATGCTTCCAGAATGCAGGCCCAAGCAGGAACGATGCAGATAAGGATGCTTCCAGAATGCAGGCCCAAGCAGGAACCATGCAGATAAGGATGCTTCCAGAATGCAGGCCCAAGCAGGAACCATGCAGATAAGGATGCTTCCAGAATGCAGGCCCAAGCAGGAACCATGCAGATAAGGATGCTTCCAGAATGCAGGCCCAAGCAGGAACCATGCAGATAAGGATGCTTCCAGAATGCAGGCCCAAGCAGGAACCATGCAGATAAGGATGCTTCCAGAATGCAGGCCCAAGCAGGAACCATGCAGAAAGGATTCTTCCACAATGCAGGCCCAAGCAGGAACCATGCAGATAAGGATGCTTCCAGAATGCAGGCCCAAGCAGGAACCATGCAGATAAGGATGCTTCCACAATGCAGGCACAAGCAGGAACCATGCAGATAAGGATGCTTCCACAATGCAGGGCAACAATGGGCAATCATTGTTAGTATTATTATTTTTGACAGAGCAGCTGCCTTTTGGGGAATGCAGTGAGACTGGAGAGGCTACACTTTTGATCATATATCCTTAGGAAATCTAAAACTGCAATAGTTTGGATAAATGGAGTAAAAATGTTACATTAAATAGTGCATAATGAAACTTCTGTTTCTGAGAAGGTGGAGTAGGAATATTTCTGCCTCCTGCTTTTTTTTTCTGAGACTGAGTCTCACTCTCTCTCCTTGAACTCTCATGTGTGTGTACTCTTATGTCACACATCTGGGCTTGCATCATATTTATTTTTTGTACAAATTCACTCTTCCCTGCCAGACTGCAGACTCATAAGAATAGAAACCCTAGATTATTATCATTAGAGTCTCCTTTAGGCCTAGCTGACAATCTCTCAAACAGCAGATGCTCAGTAACTATTTAAAAATAATCACTTTTCTGATCCAGCCATCCAGTTTGTTCAGTTGTTCACTCAAAAGTTGTCTTGGGCACAATAGTTTTTGTCATACATACCACCTTAGGCAGTTTGACATTATGATACAATTTCCAACCAAATAACAGTGATCAGAAAACCTGGAAAGAACAGTTGTTAGTGGATAGATCCGGTACGATTCATATGTACAGTAAAGTCATTTGAAGATACTGGGTCTATACCCAGTGGTGTTCGCATTAGTTTTCTAGGTATACTCTATTAAATACCACACATTGGGTGGCTTCAACAAAATAAATTTTATTTTATCACGGTTCTGGAATCTAGAAGTTTGAGATCAAGGTGTTGGCAGGCTTGACTTCAGAGGCCTCTCTTCTCAGCTTGAAGATGGCTGCCTTCTCCTTACAGCTCGAAGATGGCTGCCTTCTCCTTACAGCTCGTTATGGTTCTCTCTCTGTGTGTATCCGTGGGCCAGTCTCATTGTTTTATATGTACACCAGTCACACTGGGTTACGACTTATCTTAGAGAGCTCAGTTTATCTTAATTGTCTCTATATGGCCCCTATCTCCAAAAATGGTCACATTCTAGGGTAGAGGGTGTGAAGACTTCATCAGACAAATTTTTGGTGGAGGCAAAATTCAACCCATGGAAATGCAGCTGTAACTTATACAAGTCATCCAGTATTCTTGGATGTAACCTCTTCTTTCATAAAAATTATGTTATTTCCATCATTCTTAAAAATCCCTTTCCATGAAAAGTGTTTAATTTCTTTATACATTATCGCTCCTTTGGATTGTATTTTCTAGAACAATATCTTGGTATCATCTCATCTTTTATGCACCTATGAAAACTGGAACTTGTTTGGAAACATTTTAGGTTCTTCTCTTCTCCTTCAACCCACATCCATTCAATCTCCTCCACCTGCTACATGATTCTTTTGAGTCTCACTCCCTCCTTCCTCAGTGAGGCCCATATGGGTCTCCTTGCTAGTTTCTCTCCAGTGATCCTTCATGTTACCACTGGAGTGATCGTTATGAAGTTATTTCCCATTGCCTAGAAACTGTACTTATTAATTTATGTGACTTTTAAGGTCCTAATTTTCTTTGCTGCCCATTCATCCCACCTCAATTCCCATTAACATGAGCTCTGTGGATCTCCCCAGCAATGGAGGGGAGAGAAATGTACATTTCTGGAATTCTGATTTGTTTGTGGTGCCCATGCTTTAACATATACATACATTTTTTTCCACTTGCCTGAAATGCCTTTTCCCTGCTTGTTCTCCTGAAGGACATGGTCATCCTTCACAACTCACATGCTTTCTTCCATATGAGGTATATTAGTCTGCTCAGGTACCATAACAGAATACAAGAGAATGGGTAACATAAACGGTTTATTTTTTCACAGTTCTGGAGGCTGAAATTTCATGATCCAGGTGTCAGTAGGGACAGTTTCTTCCAAGGGCTCACTCCTTGGCTTCCTGATGGTGACCATCTCTCTGTGTCCTCACACAGCTTTCCCTATGTGAGCATGTCTGGTGTCTCTTCCTCTTTTTACAAGGAGGCCAATGCTGTTGGGTTAGAGCTCCACTCGCATGACCTCATTTAACCTTCATTATATTCTTAGGGCTCCTATGCCCAAATATGGCCCCACTGGGGGTTAGAGCTGCAACTTGTGAATTTTTGGGGAATGCAGTTCAGTCTATAACATAAGGTCTCCCCTCATTTCCTGAGGCAGAACTGAGTATACCTTCTCTGTTAGTTTATTCTCACACTGCTATAAAGAACTAACTGACTCTGAGCAATTTAGGAAGAAAACAGTTTTAATTAACTCACAGTTCCATAGCGTTAATAGGAAGCATGACTGGGAGGCTTCAGGAAGCTTACAGTCACGGTGAAAGGCAAAGAGAAGCACGTACCTTCTTCACATGGCAGCAGGAGAGAGAGCAAATGAGGGAGGAAGTGCCACGTGCTTCTAAACCGTCATGAGATCTCACTGTCACGAGAACAGCATGGGGGAAATCTGCCCCTAAATCATCATGAGAACTCACTGTCATGAGAACAGCATGGGGGAAATCTGCCCCTAAGATTCAGTCACTTCCCACCAGGTCCCTCCCCAACATTTGGAATTACAATTCAACATGAGATTGAGTGGGGACACACAGCCAGACCATATCAACTTCCCTCCTGCTCCCCTTGGGATTCCTAAAGACCCTCATCTAATGGCTTACAGCTGAGGTTTATTGGACTTTCTACCAAACTGTAAAGTCGGAGAGACCCTGGTTTGCTTGCTTTCATCTTTGAAACTTAATAAATATTTGTTAAATAGATGTTACTTTATAACAACTTGGAGGACAAAAATAAATAAAATACTTTTTAGTTGAATTTACATTTGTGTTTATTGAGATTTTCCAAATATGTAATTTCACTCATTTGATTTTAATTTTCCTTCCTTTAGAAATTAACTCTTTCAGAGTCTAGGTCCATGTTCAATATTTTTTCACACCTACAAAACTCTTTATTAGTTTGGACATTGAATGATTCAAGCTCATTAAGTTCCGGGGAAAAATATTAAGAAAAATTATGTAGGCTTTGAAGTTTCGTTTGCCTTCTAGGTGTGTGCTGACAGAATAGAGCATTTCATCAAACCACGTTATTGATCGGCTTTGTGCTCTCCGCTTCAATTCCCAGTCTTCTTTCCTTTGCCTCCCCATTCAGATAAACAAGCTGGAGGCACGCCTGAGGCAGGCAGGGTGCACAGATGTTAAAGGGGTTCCCAGGAAGGCCGAGGAGCGCTGGGTGAAGGAAGGCTGCACTCACTGCGTCTGTGAGGTCCGTGCTGTGAGTTTTCCCCTTCACCTCCCCTCTTTCACTTCTCCCAGCCAGCCAGTTGAAACATACTTGAAAAATTCAAAAGGAGAAAGAACATACTTTATGTCAGTAGATTCTAGGCATGTTTTTAAGATCAAGGCACTGGTGTGAAATTTTGAAGCTTTTGATTATTGATTATTTGATTATTGATTAAAAAAGTATTGCCATCTAATGAGCACAGAGACCACAAGCTTTTTCCATGTTCACTGATTGATGAGCGAACCAAGGCTAAGGAAGTTTATGTCACCAAGTAGACTGAGCCAGCCTGGGACTTGAGTTCATCTCATTATTCTCCAGTTAGGCTCACTATAAACGCTGCCTAAAGGTACTTGCTCAGCTACACAACTCTATGGAAAAATAAAAAAGTGTTGTCATGGTATCCACCAAAATAAAATTTAAAAAAAGTTCAGTATTCGTTATTTGGTTTGCTTTTTGAAGAGAGCTGATTATTTCCAGACCCTAGAAATGAATGAACTTCCTCAGCATATCCTACCTTATGGTAAGGGAAGGTGGGTAACATTTTATAGGGCAGCCTTGCTCTTTGTGCTGCAAATGTGTAGAAAGAAAGAATGAATAGAAATCATGCAAAAATGGTCTCATATCCAGAGCAGTTTTTATTATATTGAGACAGTCAGCTTATTAGATTATGTATATTATAAGAAACATTTACTTATCTTTAAGAAACATGGAGATGATACGTGCACATTGCCTTTCAGAGTGGCCAGATCACCTGTACGGTGGAGACTTGTCCCCCAGCTCCCTGTCCCAGTCCTGAATTGCTGAAAGGAACCTGCTGTCCAGTTTGCAGAGACAGAGGAATGCCAGCTGATTCCCCAGAGAAACGCTGATAACCATTTTGTGCTCTTGAGCCCTGAATGGGAAATTTCTCAGGAAGAGACCCTTAGGAGTTCAGCACTTTTAACTTGCTGTCTCATCATTGATATGGAAACCACTGAATTAAGCAACTTGGCTCATTTAATCTTAGATGTACTGAAGATCTTTTGTCTTTTCTCATTTTCTAATATGCCTTGAAATAATTCAGAACTAAAAGCAATACAGTGCATAAGAAGTGTTTTGTCATAAGAAATATTTCTTACTGTAAGCTGTCGATTTTATATAGCACACCTGGAAATAAAAAGAATATCATGTAATATTTACAAAAGTATGAGTATTGTGGAAAATCTCTGATTTTGGAATTCAGAGAGGTTTTGTAATCTGCAGGAATTTTGAAATAATGAGTTTCGCACTCACAGAAAACATCTGGAAGGGCCTGTGTATCACACCTCTCCTCACTGACCCTCTTCTCTCCGAATATAACCTAGGCAATTGTCAGATTTTGCTGGGAGGGCACTTATCTTAACCTTCATTAGTCTCAAAGTCCTGGGACGTAAAGAAAAAGTGAGTGAAAAAATATCATTATTTTAGGGAGCTTGTTAGCTCTGCACGTGGCTGAAAAATGCCAACTGTCTGAGAGAGACTTTCAAGAAGAACTGCTCAATATCTGCCTTCCTCTTGTCATTATTACCATTCTTGAGATGTCAAAATTGAAGGACAGCCAAGCCTGAAATTCAACCTGAATTTACTATAAGCAGACTCGAAACTGTTTCTGACTCTTACAAAAGGTGTTGCTATGCGGTACTTCTAATTTGAGGACTCTCTTACAGCATTTGACACAGAACCCCACTGATCAGTTCATTTATACTCAGAATTGAGTATCAAGTAATTTAGGTGATTTTCACTTCATAGTAGATCAGAGCCTTTAAAATCTGGTATAAAAATATGTATTCATATGTTGGGTTGACAGATCTTTTTAAAGAATACTTTGTACCAAGACTTTTTTGGGGGACATGGTCTTGCTCTGTCACCCAGGCTGGAATGCAGTGCTGTGGTGCCATCACGGCTTCCTGCAGCCTCCACCTCTGGGGTTCAAGCAATATTCTCACTGCAGCCTTTTGAGTAACTGGGACTGCAGGTGCATGCCACCACGCCCAGCTCATTTTTTTTGTAATTTGGTAGAAACAGGGTTTCACTGTGTTTCCCAAGCTCATCTCAAACTTATAGCCTCATTCCGTTCTCCTTCCTCAGCCTCCCAAAGCAATGGAATTGCAGGTATAAGCCACCATGACAGCCAAAACCTTTGAGGAAAGATTTCATGTAGTGTGCTGCCAAGACATGGCCTCAAGGAGAGAGCGCTACCGTTTTTCAATCACAAAATTAACTTTTAAAAATAGGCATCATTTCCCAGTGTTTAGAGTTCTTTTGTAAAATGCAGTATTCGTTTTAGAGAAAATATTCTGGTGGTTTTTGTACTGTGAGTGAGGAAAGATATTTCCAGAGTTTGTAATGCATTTCATTGTTTCTAAATGTGCTAGTGATTCCCAAGATCCAAATTAATCTTTACCAAAAAGGTTTCAAAGGATGCATTGTAATATGTCCTAAAAGTTTCATATTTCATGGCCTTTTAGAATCCAAAACAATTTCTAATTATACTAAGTTTTAAAAGATAAAAGCTGCCGTTTTGGGGGAGGATGGGTGTGGTGGCTCACACCTGTAATCCCAGCATTTCCAGAGGCTGAGGCAGGCAGATCATAAGGTCAAGAGATGGAGACCATCCTGGCCAACATGGTGAAACCTCGACTCTACTAAAAATATAAAAATTAGGTGGATGTGATGGCGTGCACCTGTAGTCCCAGTTACTCGGGAGGCTGGGGCAGGAGAATCGCTTGAACCCAGGAGCAGAGGCTGCAGTGAGCTGAGATTGCGCCACTGCACTCCAACCTGGTGACAGAGTGAGACTTGTCCCCCAAAAAATAAAAAATAAAAAAAAGATAAAACCTAACAAATCTCAGATGCTTGCCATTTGGTAGCCATTTAAGACCCAACATTGTAAAATGAAGCTAAACCTTACACATGTAAGGACAATGCTTTCCTCAGAAGCAGTCACAGCACGCTTACCTGCAGATGACAGTGCCACATGACAATTAAGAATAAACTTGAATTAGGTTTCTCATCATATACATTTGCTGCTGTTTCATCTGACTGCCATTTAATGTGATTGCAATGCAATTGCTCATTTTATTTTTTACACACTGACCACATGTTAACTTGGATATCATCTGGTTAACATGACTGGCTCATATAACATAACCAAATATCAAAATAACAGAATGAAATTATCATTTAAGAGGGAACTGGATTGACCGCCCGAGGATTTAAAACACTGCATGTCGACTGACAAGACAATTTGAAAATTCAGTCTCCTTTATAGGCATCCTCAGAATTCAGTCATAGAAATTACTTTTTACTGTGTAACAGTTATTTGTCTATGTTTTTAATATTGATTTTATTCTTGAAAATATTGCAAATGGTAAAAATTTCAAATATTTCCCAAGGATATACCCTGCCCATCATTTCTCCAGCCTAAGTGCAGTGGCCATTTTTAGTTTTAAGAGTTGTGTGTATAGAACAAATTTCAATACTTTAGATTTTAAAAGAAAGTACTACATCAGAATAAATGAGCTGGGTAAAGCTAAGTAAGCTGATAAGATTGGCCCCGGTGAAGTGGTAAGGATATTTTTGGAGGAAATGAACTAAGTCATATTGGAAGAAAATTTGGGTATTTAAAAATTTAAAAGTGTTTAAAAGTGGAAAGCATTAAGAAATCTGTTTTTTGGAAAAGCATGCAAAAGGAACAACACAACTTACTGTCAGAGCATGGAATATGTGATCGACAATATGATACTGTTTGCCCACAAAAGAAAGGAAAACGATTTATAAAGGTAAAGCATATGAACTGGAAATACAAGTCACTCTGAAGGGCAGGGCATGGAGCCAGAGTTGAAGGAGCAGGCTGGAGCCACACAGGTCTATGCTGATGAATCTGGAGAACATTCCAATTTGATCCTGGTGATGAACCAAGCACAGGGAAGACAAGGAAGGAGCTCTAGCGGCCGCTGTTAAATCAAAGCCCATACAGTAGAAGGGCAAAGAGCCTGCAAGACTATGTTTTATGTTTTAAAACCATGCCCCAAATTTCTAATGACATGGAAAACTGAGCAAACCAGAATCCCGTTCTGTTTCAGTTTTCCTGTTATTTCAGATTTCTAAAATGCTGAACAAAATATGATACAAAACCTGAAATATGTAATTTAATATGAGAGGGGAAAAAAACGCAGAAAATCTCTGAGTTTTATAACAGAAGGAACCTAAACCAAGAGATATAAAAGGCAAGCCAGAGGCAAAATACAGTCAGACACAGGGCCTAGTAAAGTTGAGGCTGGTGTTTTAAATTCACACTCAGGATCGGATGGTGCAGCCTGGGGCCAGGACAACACTCTAAACTTAAACCAAGTTGCTTTCTTAAAATGCCCTTCCCATGGAAAAGCCCTGGAAAGTGTGATCTCCAGCCCAGGGATGCTGCACAGAAGGTCCTCTCTATTCCCAACTTGGGATGGAAGAAACTCTTATCTCATGCCCTGTGGAGGTCTGGAGCCACATTAACACTAGACTTAAGGGTTGGAAATTCCAAGCTAGGAAATGGATGTGAACAGTTGCTCTGTCCCAATAAAGAAAGCACAAACCATGTGAGGAAATGGCTCATCACAGATTAGTCAAGAATCACAACAAATAGGATTATTAGCACCCCCAAAATTTAAGATATTAAAACAATTCTGAAGGAGACTAAGAGAAGGAATGGAGTTGGAGGAAAATAGGATACAACGCATTTAAAAGAGAGAAGTTTAAAAAGAAATAAGTATAATACCCAAAATGAAAAATACAATTGCTATAGGATCTTTGGGGTGTCATTTTTCTGGCCAGAAATGTCTGTGGCCAGTGGCGCCTTTGCCTGAGTTTAGCTCAGTCCCACTGGGCTTGTTCCACCCACTCAGCCTGGCAGGCCGAGCTGGGTTCATGCTACCTGCCTCCAATGGAAACTGAGTCAGGTGTGGAGCAGCAAGGGGTGTGTGAGCAAGTATGGGGTCCAGCCACTGCACAGTCACACATGCTGGCTGCTGCTGTGTGGTGGGGGTGCAGCTCCAGGTGCTGGCATGGGTGCCAGCTCTCTGTGAGGCTGCAGCTGAACCAGGTACACCACAAGCAGCTTCCCTGGCTGACACTAGGGAATGTGATGGCACCTGGAAGCTTGGAGATGCCAGGAACCACAGGGCCCCAAAGCAAAAGTCACAGCACTGGCTTGGGGAGTTCCCAGGTCCGGGGTCCCCCAAGGGCCACAACTTTTCTCTTTACCTGCAACGTGGAGAGCAAGGGGCATGTTTCAGCCCTGTTTGTGTTACAGCTCTTTTAGCCTCACCATTCAGAGCCTTGCCTTTCAGTGGATCCTGAGTTCTCCCACAGCCAGGAAGAATGAGGTATGCAGACAAGTGGAGGGTGAGCAAGACAAAGAGAAGCTTTACTGAACAACAGAACAGCTCAGAGGAGACCCACAGTAGGTGTCTCCTTTCTGCAGCTGGAGCGTCCTGACAAGTGTTCAGCTCCTGGCAGAGAGGAGGCCCTAGAGTGGATGGCTCCCCTCTGTAGGCAGGTGGTACTGTCATCTCCCTTGTCATCTCTCCATCCTCTCTGCTTGGGTCTGGCCAAGTCTGGGGTTTTTATGAGCCTAAAAAAGGAGGAAGCGCATGCTGATTGGTCCATGGGTGTACGTGTATATCATGTACATACATGTATTTATATATGCATCTGTATATGCTTGTATATATTTGTGTGTGTATTAATATGTAGTTACAAAGTCTTGTCTGACCTTTCTTCTATCTCTAAACTACAATTTTTTTCATTTTATTTTTTTTTTAATTTAATTTTATTTTATTTTTAGTTACTATCACCCAGGCTGGCATGCAGGAGTACAATCTCAGCTCACTGCAACCTCCACCTCCCAGGTTCAAGCAATTCTCCTGCCTCAGCTTCCTGAGTAGCTGGGATTACAGGTGAGCACCAACAAGCTCAGCTAATTTTTGTCTTTTTAGTAGAGATGGAGTTTCATCATTTTGGCATGTTGGCCAGGCTGTCTAGAACTCCTGACCTCAAATGGTCTGCCCGCCTTGGCCTCCAAAAGTGCTCGGATTACAGGCAACAGCCACTGCCCCTGGTGACAAACTACATATTTTTAATGCATAAATTATACAAGAAAAACCTTCGAAAG